TGTGTTGTTGTGCTCGTATTTCACAGCAACGAAGCAGCAGCACGGTTAAGGTCACAACCACGCACCAATCAACCCCAACAAGAACATTGACGGATACAAAGCCAGAAAGCCGGTGGGGACGAGCAGGATGAGGCGTCATCAGGACAGCCGTGGCAAGATGGCTGCTGTGGCTATGGGCGTTTTGCTTGTGGGTTTCGTGGTTCAGCGACACCTGCGTGTGATGGCAAACGTGGTGATGGTGGAGGACAGGAATGGCGTATTCCACATCAACACCAGCAACCCAGCCAATTCCACTTTGTTCTTCAATGGCATGGACGTGGGCAAGTTGTTTGAAGTGGTGGAAGCACAAGCAAGCGCGCTGGAAGCGCAGGCGAGCAGGCTGGAAGCACAAAACCGTGAACTTCAGGAACAGCGCGGCCTGACCTGCCTCCTGCGACACCCTACCACGGACACCACCACCATGGCCAGCGTTGGAATTGGAGGAAGCCATGACTGGCTTGGCGGCGTTTTGGCCAACAACGGCCTCATTTACGGCATCCCGTTTAGCTCCACCTCTGTCCTTATCATTGATCCCACCACCAACACCGCTGATACAACTACCATCACTGGGCTCGGCTCAGGCGGCGACAAGTGGGTTGGTGGTGTGCTGGCTGCCAACAGTCTCATTTATGGGTTTCCACACGACGCTCCAGCTGTCCTAGTCATCGATCCAGAGACAAACACTGTGGACAACACCACACTGGGTGGACTGCCATCAGACTTCGGCAAGTGGACCAGCGGTGTGGCTGCCAACAACGGCCTCATCTATGGCATCCCCTGGTTTGCCTCCTCTGTCCTCATCATCAACCCGTCCACCAACACCACTGACACCACCACGATCACTGGCTTTGGTGGAGGCGGAAACAAGTGGTACGGCGGCGTGCAAGCGAGCAATAGTCTCATCTACTGTATCCCCGCCCACGCTCTATCCGTGCTCATCATCGACCCAGCCACCAATATGTCAGACACCACCACCATCGACGGTTTGTCGGGGAGTTTCAAGTGGCATGGCGCCGTGCTTGCAGGCAACGGTCTCATCTTCGGCATCCCGCTCAGCAGTACGTCCGTCCTCATCATAGACCCAGCCACCAACACTGCGGACACAACGTCCATCACTGACCTTTCAGGTGACAGTTTCAAGTGGATCGGTGGTGCGCTGTTGCCAAATGGCCGCATCATCGGCATCCCATACTCCGCCTCGTCTGCACTTGTCATTGACACAACCACCAACACCGTCAACGCCACGTCCCTCCCTGTTCCTGCTGGCGACCTCAAGTGGTACGACGGCGCCCTCGCCAACAACGGCCTCATCTACGGCATGCCCCGCAACTCCAGAGCTGTTCTTATCATCGATCCTGGCTGCTGAGCAAAGTGATACCCACGTGTTAGCGTGTTGCCTTGCGCGTCTGTGCCTTCTTGCACCCTCTCTGTACGTCGTGCTTCTGCGAGGCGTGCCATCAAGCCATCCTCGCCATCGTTTTCTGTTCTTGTATCTTGTTGCAGTGTCGTGTCCTTGTGTTCGTAATCTCTCTTCTGAGCCTGTTCTTGTTGCCTGTCCTGTCCTCCTCTCTTCTCTTGAGCTTGTCGCTTCTGCTTTCTTTCCAAGCCTCCCATCCTCTGTTGGCTATTCTGTGTTTCCTTCTCTTCTGTTGTGCTGTGGAGTGAATCCATCGTGACTGTGGGTACTTCTCTGTCCCATCTCCAGCTTGCTTCCTTTTCCCCACTGACCAATAGAATGCACCATGCTCCACAAAACCACAACCGCCACTGCTGAAAAAACGGTCGTGTGCGCACAAATCCCGCGTGTGGTTTTCATCATCGCATACACACAAACGCAGACACAAAGCCGGAGCAGGAGGATGTTCTCGACGCGGCAGAAGCGGGCTGGGGCGCCCATGACCCCACACCTGCGAACCAAGATGTCCAATCCACTGCTGTGAGTGTACAGCACAGCCCAGTGGTTGCGTGCCACGCTTTGCGCGTTGGCGTGCAATGATCCTTGTCCATCGGTTCTGCATCTACCAACAAGCTCACTGACACACACACACACACACACACACACACACACACACACACACACACACACACACACACACACACACACACACACACACACACACACACACACACACTGCAGGTCCGCATCTACGGTGAGTGTGTCTTCGTCGATGGTTGGAGCGAGCACGGCATCCGAGACGCCGTCCGGTGCGCAGGCGTCCGGGCTCGTGCGCATGGAAACGGCGCTGCCGAAGCAGTACCAAGGGTTTGCGCCGAGTGGCGCCGTGCTGCGAATGGAGCACGCCAACGACGGCCCCTTGACCAACCTGCACCAGGCCACCGCTGTCCTCTATCCCGACACAAACAGCACAGACGTTGTTGTGATTGAGTCGTCTGGCCTGTCCCACAACTATGCGGAGGTGAGGGTCGCCGCCAGCATCTCCGCGCGGCAGCTCACCTTTGTCACCTCGGCTGGTGACGAGATTCCTCTCATCGCCGCCCTTCCCGGTGGTGAGGTACACTACTATGCCGACACGCGGGACGAGGAGCGCGGCGTGTCGTCGTGTCTTCTTCCCATTCCGTCGACCGCAGCCGTTGCTGACATCATTGCGCTTCGCGTAAGTCCAGTGCTGCCAGTGAGCATGCGTTTTGACACCTCTGTCTCTCTCTCTCTCTCTCGCATTTCCTTCGATTACACACTACACATACGCACACACTGCGCCATCCACTCATACACACACACACACACTCTCTCTCTCACTCCACTCATGCTCACCCCCCCCCAAACACACACACACAATAACTCACGTATGCGTGTCTATTTCATCAGGAGCACGTGTTCTGTGTGGTGACGACGGGAGACTTGTATGAGATCACACCCACGGCCGATGGCCGAGTAGCCGGCAGTCGCATTGCAAAGGCGAACGAGGCCAGCATGCTTGCAGGCTTCAGCCGCCGCATGACAAACCTCTTTGGGTTTGCAGACACGGCCCGCGAGCTTACCATCCGCGCCTCCCTTCCACTCACGTCGGCTCCGCTTCCCACCATCGTCGTGGCCCTCGACCAAAGCATTGAGCTCTGGAGCGTCACTGACCGAAGACTCGTCGAGGTATCATGGAGCTTGCTCGCCTTCTGTGTGTGTGTGTGTGTGTGTATGTGTGCGCGTGTGTGTGTGTGTGCGCGTGTGTGTATGTGTGCGCGTGTGTGCGCGCGTGTGTGTATGTGCGCGCGCGTGTGTAGGTGGGTTTGTGTTTGTTAGTCTCCCTACCTGCCTGCCTGCCTACCTGCCTGCCTGCCTACCTGCCTGCCAGCCTGCCTACCTGCCTGCCTCTTTTGTTTGTCTGTCCATCTGTGCACGGGTGCGGTCGGTGTGGACGACCGAGCACAAAACTCACAGTCTGCCCCGCCTTCCTCCGCATTCGTCGTGCTTGCTCGCCCTTTTCAGGTTGACACGGTGCATATCCTCAATGAGGGCGGCTCTGCTGTTGGTCCGTTTGCATCTGATGCGCTTCCATCCCGCCTCTCCATCGTCACCGCAGCCGTCATCGCCCAGACTGCAGCGTCGTGGTCAGTCACATCATATCCTCCCGTGTGTGCGCTCTTTTGCGTGCGTGTGTGTGTGTGTGATCTTTGTGCGGGTGTGTGTGTGTGCGCGTGCGTGTGTGTGTGTGTATGTGTGCGTGTGCGTGTGTGTGCTTGCCATGACGTGCCTCTTCTTTCCGTTGTGTTCTGTGCATCGCTGTCTTTTACCTTCCAAGTGTGTTTCCACACCTCACCACCCGTCTTCGCCACCCATCACCGTCACCATCACCATTACCATCACTGTCACCATCACCATCAGCGACCTGGCGATTCTCACTGCCGCCATGACAGATGTGCAGCCCGTCTCCTTCTTCCTCTGTGCGCTGCCGCTTCTGACCTGCGCGTGTTTTCTTGCCTACACACCCGCGCGCGCACATTGACACAGGCAAACACACATTGAAGCACACATTTACACACACATATACGCACACGCACACACATCCACACACGCACGCACATACACATTCACACACACATATTGGCGTGTTCACTCACATCCACATGCTATGCATCACGTGGCGTGGCAGGCCGGCTGCAAGTGCTGTTGGCAGAGGGCGGGCGCGTGGACGACATTCGCTGGTCGAAACTGCCAATCGACGAGCAGCTCTCGGTCAGCTACACAGCAGCCAGCCATCGGTGGTGGTGGTGGTGGTGGTTGAAGCCATGGTGGTGATTGCCGTCGTAGTGATTGTGGTGGATGGCCGACGCATCTGCTCCTACAACACGCGAGTGTTGACCTGGGCCCGATTGCGTGGTTAATCAACACTCTCCTCGCCCTCATGTGTGAAGTCTCGGTCGCGCATTTCACCTGATGTCGTTGCGTTTTGGTTCTCACACGTGCGTGCGTGCGGTGGTCACTGGTCAGGCTGGCGGCTCGCATCTGCAGAAGCGGCTCTTTGCCCCGTCGTCGGACGTGCTTGTTGTTGTTGACGACGCGAAGCACAAGGTCATGCGCATTGAAGGTGAGGAACAATGTCACTTGTTGGTGCAAGGGCGCTGGGCGTTCATTGCTTTGTGCAATGTCTGCGCTCCACCCCTACCTTCACACACACACACATACACACACCACGCGTCATTCACCACCACCGCCTGCTTCACTGCTTCACGTGCGTGCATGTTCACAGTTGGCGACGACTGGGACGACTCGTCACTGGATCTCATTCGCATCAGCGACAGTCCGCAACTGCCCGTCCGCGCTGCCGGCATGCGCGCTGACGGCGGCGTTGTCTGCGTCTCGCACATGCGATCTTGGGCGGTTCGCACCATTCAGCCATTGGCGGCAGCCGAGGTTTGTTCTCATGGCAGCACGTCTTAACTTGTGTTTCATGCGGTTTGTTCTTGCACACCCTCGGAAAGACACTTGCACACACACATATACATGAACGCACACATGACATCACATGAACCCACTCCTTAACATCACACACACACCTGCATACAACACACACGCACGCACGCACACACACGCACACACACATGTGTACAATCAGCCTGCGCCAGACGTGTCTGTGTACGACCCAACGACTCCAACACGTGGGACGAGCACGGCCAACACGACAATGGCCACTGTCGGTGGCGCACGGTTTGGAGAACCCACGTCGCTTCGACAGGTGGTGGCGGCACTGCTGCGCACAGGGGAGGCCGTGCCGTTTGATCCACAGGAGGACGAGATTGTGACGCTCAGCCAAGAAAGTACGCGCATGCCACCATGCTTGTGGCGCATATGTGGCTGTGCTACTGCGACCACGGGTTGTTGCTGCCTGCTTTGCTGCCTTGTTTTCATCGACCCTCAATTCAACGATTCCATTCGTCACCACTTGCAACTCACATTATCGCCATCGCCACCATTCACCATGCGTTTACATTGCGTCTGGCGTGCAGTCCTTGACGGGGCGGCGTTTGACCCGCGGTGGGGCGAGCAGCGGGCGCAGCAGGGCGCCTTTGACGGCCGCATCATCGCCTCCCAGCTCCAGCGCAAGACCGAGCAGCACGTCGCCCTCTTGTCCTACCTCGCACACGACGACATTGCGTTGTGGCAGGTACGTGTGTGCGTGCGTGTGTGTGTGTGTGTGTGTGTGTGTGTGTGCGTGCTTGTGTGTGTGTGTGCTTGTGTGTGTGTGCGTGTGTGCGTGTGTGTGTGTGCGTGTGCGTGTGTGTGTGTTTTGGCCGCTTGGGCCGATGCCTCCGCCCACGTGTACGAGTGCTTCCTCATTGTCTTCCTCACATCAACTCGAACGGGCACTGCATCTCCAATTTAAACACCAGCAACTTTCGGTCGAGACCCAGACAACACTGAACAACCACCATGAGTTTCTGCACATTGCGTCTGTTGTCCGCGACATCCACATGGCCAAGTGCGTACGCGTATTCTGTTGTGCAGTATGCTTTGTGTGTACTTGCACATGCGTGTCGCGTGTGCGGAGATGAGTCGGTCCGCTGCACTCCATTGGTGCGCACATCTGTTCGTTGCCCCTGTCTGCTGCTGCTCATTTTGTTTTGATGTGTTCACGCACTTGTGCAGAGAGGTGGACGTGGAGCGCCTTGTGCTCCGCCCGAATCGCATCGATAGTGACACGTTCTACACAAAGGTTTGCTTGCACGTATACATATGTTGTGCGCACCTTGCACCTTGCACCTTGGCAACTCCTGCTTGTGCAGCCATTTCTCACGGCTTGCTCGCATGAGCACCGCTTCCCCCCTCATCGTGACACACCCTAACGGGTTCGTCTGTCTTCCTCCATCGTCTGCGTGACCTCTTCAGGTGTCGCGTCTGCCGCTTGATCTCATGAAAACGCTCTCACGCGTGTCGCTCACGACCTCGGGCCCCACCAACGCCGGGCCCCTTGCAGCACTTGCGCTCGCCACAGTACGTCCTGTGCAGCTTCTCTCTGCTGTGCGTGTGTGTGGGGGTGTGGGGATGTGGGAATGTGGGTGTGCGTCTACATGTATGTACATGTCTGTGAGTCTGTTCATGCTCGTGTCTCCCTGTGGGTCTGTCCATGTTTATGTTTACTGTGTATCTGGCTGTGCTCCGCACCCTCTCTGTCTCTGGTTGCTGCCTCACCACCTGCCGTTGGCCGTCGCCGTTACCGTTGCGTGCTCAGCGGTGCTGCGAAGCGGCAGTGGAGTCGCGCCGCACACGCGCGGACAAATACTCTCCACACACGCTTGCACACGCGTGGACATCACAGCCAGGCATGCGCGCCATCTTCAAGACAATGGTGGGTTGATGTTTGGAAGAAGAAGAGGTGGGCGTTCATATGCGTGTGTGTGCGTGTGTTTGTGTTTGCGCGTACGTAGGTGCGTGTGTGTACATGTGCAGTTTTTGTCTGTATTTGAATGTGTGTGTGTGTGTGTGTGTGTGTGTGTGTGTGTGTGTGTGTGCATTGCGGGTCTCCAGGGATCGGCGACATGGTGCCTTGGTGGCCCGATCCTGCACGCTCACCCACATGACTTGTCTGTATGCAATGGATTTTCAGTTTGACATGCACGCCGTCATCCATGACCGCGACGCCCAGCGCGTACGTTGCTCAGCTCAATTGCGGTTGTGGTCCCGTCGAGCAATGTTGCTCACCCCAGTGATGTGCATGCTTCGTCGTGGTGGTTGGCCCGTGCCTCAAGTTCACGACACGTCCTCACCTCACGCACATGCACATGCCACTCCCACCGCCAGGCTGTCGAGTTTATGCGCTTCTTTGCTGAAATGGTCCTCACTGCGCTCAAGTATCACGCTGACATCTCCAAGTGAGTTGTGGTTGTACCCGCTTGTACCCGCTTGTGCGCGCGCGCGCGCGCGCGCGCGTGTGTGTGTGTGTGTGTGTGTGTGTGTGTGTGTGTGTGTGTGTGTGTGTGTGTGTGTGTGTGTGTGTGTGTGTGTGTGTC